TCATATATTTCTTAATTTTATTACATTTGCATTCCGTTCTTTTCCCCTCCAGGGTAGGTTGAATATAGCATGCACGATGTTTGCCTAACTTCTTAGACTCGAGGAAATGCTGGGGTTTGCTGATGGAATTGCAACAACTGATTCCTGGCCATGCCCTAGACCTGTTTTGGGACTACAGCTCCCATCATTCCTAGCTAACAGGACCAGTAGTCAGGGATGATGGGAATTGTAGTCCCAAAACAGCTGGAAGGCTGAGTTTGGGGATGCCTGGTCTAGACCAGTGTTTCCCAAACTTGGGTCCTCAGCTGTTGTTGCGCTACAACTCCCATCATCCCTGACCACTGGTCCTGCTATCTAGGGATGATGGGAGTTGTAGTCTGAAAATCTGAAGGGCACCAGATTAAGAATGTAAGGTAAATCTGCTGGATCGTGACCCATCCAGAATTCTGGAAGTTGTAATTTGTTAAGGGTGCTGAGTGTTGTTAGGAGAACTCTATTTCCTTCCTTGAGCTACAATTCCCAGAGTGGCTTAACAATCAGTCCCTCTTTCCAGGGAACTCTGGGAATTGTAGCTCTGGGAAGGGGAAAGGTTCCCTCACTGCGAGAAGTGAGGTTACATGGAACCAGGCAGAGGGCCTTCTTGGTAGTGGCGACTGCCCTGTGGAATGCCCTCCCATCAGATGTCAAGGAAATAGATAACTATCTGACTTTTAGAAGACATCTGAAGGCAGCCCTGCTTAGGGAAATTTTTAATGTTTAATCATGTATTGTGTTTTTAATATTCGATTGGGAGCCGCCCAGGATAGCTGGGGAAACCCAGCCAGATGGGCGGGGTATAAATAATAAATTATGATTATGAGTATTGCCTAACCGCTCTCAGCATCCATAACAAACCACAGCTCCCAGATTTCTTCTGAGGAGGCTATGACTGTATAAATTAGCATTATGCATTGCAGGGGATTGGACCAGATGATACCTAGGATCTTTTCCAACTCTACAGTTCTATGATTCAATGACAGTATAATATTTTAAACATATGGTGTGAATGTAGCCTTAAATGACAACACTTAACAAATGTCTTTTTCTTAGTGCGGTCAAGATTCACCCACACACTGCGCAAATATAGAATTATACAGCTGCATCTTTCCTCCACTTTTATGTATAAATTTAGACAAATAAATTTTGCAGATAATGTAGATTACACTGTGGTAGTAGGGCCAGGGCGGGAGAGTGGCAGAGCTCTGTCTAGTCAAGTTGTATGGGATCAGTTTCAACCCGTAGGCTCTGAGGATGTGGACAGACTGCTTGGACCAGTGAAAATGACCACCTATCTCCTTGATTCTTGCCCATCGCTCATAAAAGTGAGCCAGGCAGGGTTAGGCAATGGGCTCCATGGGCTGGTGAATGCTTCCCTCTGTGAGGAAGTCTTACCAGACCCGCTTGAAGAAGCTGTTATTAAGCTGCTTTAAATATTTGTTTTTTAAAAAACCACCATCTCTGGATCTGGCCGTTATGGCTAATCATCACCCAGTCTCAAATCTTCCATTCCTGGGCAAGGTGATTGAGCAGGTGGTCTCTGAACAACTCCAGGCACTCCTGGAGAATGCAGACCATTTGGATCCCTTCCAGTTGGGATTCAGGCCACCACCTTGGTTGTGAAACCACCTTGGTTGTGCTGGTCGATGATCTCCAGCAGGCCACGGACAGAGCCATGTGTGTGGACCAGTGGGAGCAAAGAGTTGTCCAGAGTGGTCCCTGCTGGGTATGGGATTCAGTTTACCACAGCAAAAGAAAGTGTAGTAAAGATTGTTTGACTTAGTAAATGCCATCATGCACAATATAGATGTGACCAAACAGTTTTCTAAGTTCCTAAACTTTCCCAGTGGTGATGTATGGAAGTGAGAGCTGGACCATAAAGAAGGCTGATCGTCGAAGAATGGATGCTTTTGAATTATGGTGCTGGAGGAGACTCTTGAGAGTCCCATGGACTGCAAGAAGATCAAACCTATCCATTCTGAAGGAAATCAGCCCTGAGTGCTCACTGGAAGGACAGATCCTGAAGCTGAGGCTCCAATACTTTGGCCACCTCATGAGAAGAGAAGACTCCCTGGAAAAGACCCTGATGTTGGGAAAGATGGAGGGCACAAGGAGAAGGGGACGACAGAGGACGAGATGGTTGGACAGTGTCCTCGAAGCTACCAACATGAGTTTGACCAAACTGCAGGAGGCAGTGGAAGACAGGAGTGCCTGGCATGCTCTGGTCCATGGGGTCACGAAGAGTAGGACACGACTAAACGACTAAACAACAACAAACACAAAACACATTATATACAAACAGTTGCTTGAGGAAGTCTTCTCTCTCTCTCTGAGCCCAGAGAGGGCTTTCACTTTCAAAGCCATTGCTTAGGCAAAGCTCACAAAGCAAGTATAAAGTCCACTTGCCAAAGTTTTGCAGCACACAGATTTCCAAGTCAAGTTCTCCAGTGGTCTTCCGATTCTCCAGCTTCTCTCCATCTCCACACTTCATCTTCACACGTCTCCAGAATTTGTGCCACAAAGGAATGCTGTGAAGTGAGCCTCTTACACAAGCCAGCACAGGAATCTTGTATTGGGAGAGCAGCGCCACTCTGCTACTGGCTGGTGATGCCATCATCCTGAATCTTTTCGTTATAATGGCATAATAAGCTATAATGATAATGTCTCATCTCCTGTCAATTTGCTGGGTTTTAAATAGTTGTCGTGCTTTCATTTTGCTTATTTCTTGCATGGTTGTTTTTGTATTTTATCTATTATAAGCCACCTTGAAAGGCAGCCTAAAAATACATTCATATATAAATGCAATTATTTCCCTCCGCTGAAATGCCGTATTTACTGTTTGTTTTTCTTTATTGCAACTATAGATCAGATTATCCAATGACATGCAAACATCCATAGGAAACATTTTTGCTTTCTGCCTTGAATTCTCTTAACTCAGCAGAACATGTCGGCAGATTCTGCAGTTTCACCTTTCCCAACTGTGGCCGGTGTTTAGTTCAGCTTAATTTGTTGTATGTTCACTGATGTAATTGCTGGCAGCTGTATCTAACTTCCACATCACTATTGATTTAAGGTTTGTCTTAATCTACAGTTTGTAGATAAAGATTTGAACTTTTTGTGCTTGGGGCCCACTTTGCGGTTCTTTTTAATGAAAAATGGGCTGGAAATATTTTTCAACAAATATTAAATTATTATCATTTTAAAATAATTTGGGAGTGACAGCTTAGGTTTTATGTAGCCTCAAAGGCTACGTTGTACCTATCCTGTCACAAGCAACATGCTTCTGAGTCACTGGGAATCGCAGAAGGATACAGTGCTCTTTTACTCCGCCTCCTGGTTATGGGCTTCCAATAAGCATCTTGTTGGTCACCGTGGGAATATGATGTTGGACTAAATGGACCATTGGCCTGATGCGGGTGGCACTGTGGGTTAAACCACAGAGCCTAGGACTTGCCGATCAGAAGGTCAGCGGTTCGAATCCCTGCGACGGGGTGAGCTCCCATTGCTCGGTCCCTCCTCCTGCCAACCTAGCAGTTTGAAAGCACGTCAAAGTGCAAGTAGATAAATAGGTACCGCTCCGGTGGGAAAGTAAACGGCATTTCCGTGTGCTGCTCTGGTTTACCAGAAGCGGCTTAGTCATGCTGGCTACTTGACCCAGAAGTTGTACGCTGGCTCCCTCAGCCAATAAAGCGAGATGAGCGCCGCAACCCCAGAGTCAGTCACGACTGGACCTATTGGTCAGGGGTCCCTTTACCTTTACGTAAGAAGGCTCCTCTGGGGTTCTTAACCAAACAGGCAGGGGACTCCCTGGTCCTGAATGGGGTAACTGTGCCCCTAAAGGACCAGGAGCGCAGCCTGGGAGTCATTTTGGACTCACAGCTATCCATGGAAATGCAGGTTAATTTTGTGTCCAGGGCAGCTGTCTGCTAGCTCCAACTGGTATGCCGGCTGAGACCCTACCTGCCTGCACACGGTCTCAATAGAGTGGCACACGTTCTGGTTATTTCCTGCTTGGACTACTGAAATGCGCTTTTGCAGTTTTACCAGTTCTGTGGTATGTTCTCGCTTTGGCCACAGTGACAATGACTTCAAACAAACGAGATAAAAATTCCACGTCGGCTATACCTTTCCCCTGTTTTTCCCCTTAGTGTGAGTGTTGAGGCACATCCCTACACTACTTCCTCTAGGTGTGTGAATAATAATAATAATAATAATAATAATAATAATAATAATAATTTATACCCCGCCCATCTGGCTGGATTTCCCCAGCCACTCTGGGCGGCTTTCAACATGTACAAAAATACAATGAAACATCAACATATATAAAGCTACTGATACAGTGGTACCTCGGGTTACAGACGCTTCAGGTTACAGACTCCGCTAACCCAGAAATAGCACCTCGTGTTAAGAACTTTGCTTCAGGATGAGAACAGAAATCGTGCTCCGGTGGCGCGGCAGCAGCAGGAGGCCCCATTAGCTAAAGTGGTGCTTCAGGTTAAGAACAGTTTCAGGTTAAGAATGGACCGACCTCCAGAACGAATTCAGTTCTTAACCCGAGGTACCACTGTGTAGGCCTGCCTTCAGATGTCTTCTAAAAGTCTGGTAGTTGTTTTTGGTAGTCTGGTACAGTGGTACAGAGGTCCGTTCTTAACCTGAAACTGTTCTTAACCTGAAGCACCACTTTAGCTAATGGGGCCTCCTGCTGCCGCCGCGCTGCCAGAGCACAATTTCTGTTCTCATCCTGAAGCAAGGTTCTTAATCCAAGGTACTATTTCTGGGTTAGCAGAGTCTGTAACCTGAAGCATCTGTAACCTGAAGCGTATGTAACCCGAGGTACCACTGTAGTTGGATGTCTCGAATGATTATTTTCTGCCCATGATTTGCGATGCCAGTGACTAAAGCAGTGCCTAAATGCTCTGGCTCTTTCATTCCTGAGTAATAAAGCAACTTCTTTTCTACTTCCTGGTGTGACACGTTCTTTATTAGGCACAAGTTTTAAAGGTATACACACATTTTTTAAATGGGCACATGTCAAAATGTTGCATTCCTCTCAAGAGCGGACGCCAGGTCTATACGAGTGGTGAACACGTACGCAGGTTCAGACATGCACCTTGTAACAACAAACACACACGAAATTGTGAAAGCAAATTCATTTGGTATGGTTCTTTAGTTTCATGGCAGACATCTATTTTAACAAGTAAGGGCGAGTACTTTCTCACAATTTCCAATCAATTCTTGATGCAAACTTATCCACCCCTGTCCACGTTTACTCACAGGACCCCTTGAGTTCGACAGACCCTAGACTACAATCCTAAACACATTTATTCAGGAGTAGGCTCCATTGAGCAGAGGTGGGCTTACTCATGGGTAAATAGCACCCAGAGGATTGGGTTCCATGGCTGCTGAATCATATGCTAGCTTACTCAGAGGCCAGACCACACTGAAGTCAAAACGAATTTAGTGGGGTGAAACAGAAGCAGAAATTGCCCGCGATGATATATCTGCGGCGATTCAAATATTCACATCAAATTTGTGTTCTGGGAGCCTCAGCGACACATTTCCAAATCTGGATTGTTTTAAACAATGCAGACAATGTCAGGCAGTTAGCCTTATCGCATCATGGGGAGAGAAGTAATCATATTGAAGCTGGATAATTTCTGTTGTCTGGGTTTAAAAATTCAATTAATTGCCTGGGGGTTTTCATATGACAAGCCCTCTGAATTAATTCTGTTCCTTACAGATCGCACATTACATAAGGCCCTCAGCTAGGGGGAACTCCCTCCTCTGGAGACATTTACATTTACATGATGAATCTAATGCTCCCCGCCACTTATATGTGTGGTATATTTTCCCCCCAGGTGCTCTCGGCTGAAAACCCTCAACCTTCCCTGCGCATATTAACCCGAAACGCCCTCCTAATTATGATTAACGATCATGTTCCCTCCTCCAGATGTCTGGAGGGAACTGTAAGGGGTGGTGTTGCTATGGCAACATCGAGTCCATTCCCATGGAGTCCATTCCATGAAGCAGTCCTCTCCTGAAGATTAAGGCTTATTCCGCACTTCACAGAGGGCAAAACAGCCAATGTTGACCCAGGCTGAAACTGGGTAAATGGAAAGCTGTGAGAAATGTCCTTGAAATGTCCCCTCCGAACTGGATGCGGTGGCCTGTTGCCATAAAGTCATTTCCACAATTTGGCTTCTGGAATCTTGTTGCAATTCTGATAGTAAAGCATTCGTAGGGATGAGCCGAAAATCCACGCAGAGCCAAAATGGCCTCCCAGAATTCAATGCACCATTTGTGGGTGATAAAATGAAACAAATTTGTGGAGGTGCAAATCAGCAAGGGCCACCAACCCTAGTGGCTGGGAGGCAGAATGACTCTGAATTCCAGTTGCCGGAATGTCCGCAGGACAGGACATTAGATGTTCTCAAACTCCAATTCCCATCAGCCCCAGGCAGCATCCCCAATGGTCAGGGGCGAGGGGTTTTGTAGTCCCTCAACATCTAGCAACTGGCTTCCCAAACTTATTTGGACTACAACTCCCATCATCACTAGCTTGCAAGACCAGAGGCATTCTAGGGGGTGGGGGCGGACCACTCCAGGTACCATTCCAAAGGGGGGTGTGACAAAATGCCGACCCCCAATTGGTGGCACCCCCCAGGGTGTGCGCCGCTCGTCGCACACCACTGGGACGTGCGCCACGCCCCCTGGGACGAGCGCCGCTCCGGGTACCAGAGCAGGTTGCTTTGCCTCTGAGCAAGACGAGTGGTCAGGGATAATGAGAATTGTAGTCCAAAAGCAACTGCAGACCCAAGTTTGGGAAACGCTGGCCTAGCGGGTCCCATGTCCCTCATCCCTGTGTTAGAGTCCTGGCTGGCAGTGACTCTACCAGCCCACAAATGGACTGGCGTGACCATGTGACAAGATGAGCAACTTCTTCCCTTATATCAAGGAGAATCAGGACATACATTTGAGGGTTGGGGAATAGTCAACATGGAGTCCAATCAGCGGACTCCAACTCCCATCAGCCACAAACAGCAGGGCCAATAGTTGGGGGTGATGGGAGTTGTAGTTCATCTCTAGAGGCCCATCTTGACTACCCCTTTCACATCGCAATAGGGCACAGCTAATCTATTTTTATTTTAGTTTTTGTTCTGGAGTAAGTTTCCATATTGTGATTAGGAAGTATCATGGCAACACCATGAGTTACTATGGCTTTATCAAATTGTATTAATTGTTTGGATGAATCTGGTGTTGTAGATACCTTCCAGCGGGAAGGTAAATAGCATTTCCATGCGCTTCTCTGGTTTTGCCAGAAGCGACTTAGTCATGCTGGCCACATGACCCGGAAGCTGTCTGCGGACAAACGCCAGCTCCCTCTGCCTATAGAGCGAGATGAGCGCGCAACCCCAGAGTCATCCGCGACTGGACCTAACAGTCAGGGGTACCTTTACCTTTACCTGTGCTTGATATTATAGCAATTGCAATGTTTGGGACATTTGTGTGTTTTCAATGTTTTTGTGATTATTGGGAGCCTCTCTGAGCTCAACATTTGTCGCTGGAAAAGCAGAATACAAATATTAAATCAAATCCAAGTCAATAATCTGCTCCCTGATCTCGCCAATGGTTGAATTTTGCTTGCAAAGCAGGGGCTTGAGCCATAGTCTATTCCACAAAGCAAAACGAAGGAGCTGAGATAAGCTCTGTATACCACAATTTGAGGAGGGGGGGAGGAACAATGGAGATTTTATAACCATCATTTCCACTTCAGAGGCAGGTGCAAGAGATCCAAAATCTGAGAAATGAGAAGGTCATAATGTTCTATGCTGAAGCCACAATCTTTAAGCGATGGAGGTGCTTGGTTTGGAGAACTAACTCTCAGCTTAGTGATGAATCTGGGTGACAACATCTTCCCAAACTCCACATTCCTTTCTTCTGGTCCTTCCTGTTTCCTTTCGCCTTATCAGTCACCCCTAACACACCGAGGTTGTCATCTTGATGCCAGAACTCGATGGCACGGTCCACCTTGTCCTCTTCCTCCAAATCGGCATAAATCCATAGCTGTTGCCACGCCATTTCCGACAAATTTCCGCCTGTACCTTTAAAAATAAAAGAGCTGCCATTACCAGAAAGCTGCCATTTCAGTTCTCAGACACAGCCAGAGTAAAAGTGCAAAGCTCTGTCGGTGACATTTGTTATATGTCAAGCACAGAAGGAATAAACCTAAAACCTTTGGATTATTCTTAGCTATTTTACACTTCGACTGAAATTTGTCAGTGCCAACAAATGCAAAAGTTGAGGTGTCAACTGTTGGCATCAGAAAACACAGTGGGCACTTTGGGGGGATTTTATCATTTTTCTAGTGTTGCATCATTATTATTTGCTTAGTTTCACTGTTTAACATCTACCTACCTTAGAGACTGAGGGACATGGTTGGCGCTGTGGGTTAAACCACAGAGCCTAGGACTTGCCGATCAGAAGGTCGGCTGTTCGAATCCCCGCAACAATGTGAGCTCCCGTTGCTCTGTCCCAGCTTCTGCCAACCTAGCAGTTCAAAAGCACATCATGTGCAAGTAGATAAATAAGTACCGCTCCGGTGGGAAGGTAAACGGCGTTTCCGTGCGCTGCTCTGGTTCGCCAGAAGCGGCTTAGTCATGCTGGCCACATGACCCGGAAGCTGTATGCCTGCTCCCTCGGCCAATAAAGCGAGATGAGCGCTGCAACCCCAGAGTCAGTCATGACCGGACCTAATGGTCAGGGGTCCCTTTACCTTTACCTTAGAGACTGTCGTGATATTAAGCAGCATATAAATATATAGAAGGAAATAAGCAGAAGCTTCCATAGCATCAGGTCATTTTGATTGATTGATTGATTGATTGAATCACAAAATCACAGAGTTGGAAGGGCCGTCACTTGGAAGATGGAGCAATCCTGTTTTCTCCTGCTCTGGAGGGCAGGCCCCAAACCAATGGCTTCAAGTTACAAGGAAGGAGATTCCGACTAAACATTAGGAGGAACTTTCTGACAGTAAAGAATTCAACAGTGGAAGGGACTCCTTCAGAAGGTGGTGGACTCTCCTTCCTTGGAGGTTTTTAAGCAGAGGTTGGGTGGCCATCTGTCAGGGATGCTTTAGATGAGATTTCTGCATTGCAGGGGGTTGGACTAGATGACCCCAGGGGTACCTTTCAACTCTACAATTCCATCATTCTATGGCCATGCTGATGTTGGAGGCTGGGGGAAGCAATAATTTGTGTAACCACGAGAGGGCCACATCCTCACAAAGATGAGAACAGGGAAGGGTTTATACCAGGCTTCCTCAACCTCAGCCCTAGAGATGTTTTGAGACTACAATTCCCACCATCCCTGACCACTGGTCCTGCTAGCTAGGGATTATGGGAGTTGTAGGCCAAAAACATCTGGAGGGCTGAGTTTGAGGAAGCCTGGTTTATACTCTCTGCTTCTGTGTCTTGTTGCGCTTAGGATTTCCTGGCCGGATTTTGAATCGCTCAATTTTGTTTTCTGCTGTGGTCATGGGAATCGCAAGCCTTTACTTCTCTGAAAACGCAGCCAAGGCAAAATATTGCAAAGTCCGCAGCCCCAGCTCTTCTTACCTCTTGATTTAGGAAGCAGTACAGAACAGCAACAATGAAGCCCTGTATAACAAGGAGGAAAAAACACAGAAATTAAATTCCTAAATTAAATTCTCCATTGGCCATGCCTCCTCCCCAAACCACACCACAGTCCCTCTCCCACACCCTCCTCCGGTCCCCCTCCCTTAAGATGTAATATGCCCCTGACAGGAATGGACCTTAGTAATATGGTGTCCTTGGTGAGGACCAAATTTGAGGCTTCCCCCCCCCCCCAGCAGCTCCCAGCCCTCATATCGCCCTCCAAAAGTCAGGGAGGCGAGGTGCTGAGCTTGGAAAAGGAGCTGCGACGATCTGGCAGGGTCCTTGAGTCCTCCTGTCTCCTTCCCAAAGCTGGGCAAGTAGTAGTAGTAGTAATAATAATAATTTATTCTTTATACCCCTCCCCCACCTGGCTGGGTTTCCCCAGCCACTCTGAGTGGCTCCCAACAGAAGACAGTGGTACCTCGAGTTACAGTCGCTTCAGGTTACAGACGCTTCAGGTTACAGACTCCGCTCACCCAGAAATAGTACCTCGGGTTAAGAACTTTGCTTCAGGATGAGAACAGAAATTGCGCGGCGGCGGGAGGCCCCATTAACTAAAGCTGTACCTCAGGTTAAGAACAGTTTCAGGTTAAGAACAGACCTCCAGAACAAATTAAGTTCTTAACCTGAGGTACCACTGTATTAAAAACACAATAAAACAACAAACATTAAAACATCCCTATACAGGGCTGCCTTCAGACAAGTCAGATAGTTGTCTATTTCCTTGACATCTGATGGGAGGGCGTTCCACAGGACGGGCGCCACTACCGAGAAAGCCATCTGCCTGGTTCCCTGTAACTTTGCTTCTCGCAGTGAGGGAACTGCCAGAAGGCCCTCAGAGCTGGACCTCAGTGTCCGGGCTGAACGATGGGGGTGGAGATGTTCCTTCGGTTATACTGAGCAGAGGCCATTCAGGGCTTTAAAGGTCAGCACCAACACTTTGAATTTTGCTCAGAAACATCCTGGGAGCCAGTGAAGGTCTTTCAGGACCGGTGTTATATAGTGCTAACTAGGCTTCGAGAAGAAGGACTCTAGGTCCCTGTCAGAGCCCTCACACCTCCTTCCTGAAGCAATAGCTTACTAGGCTTTGAGAAGGAAGCGGGAAGTCACCCCTTTCGCTCATCACCCTGAGTTTTGGACGGCTGGGCCAGGGACACTTACCAACAGAGGTATGTGATCCCTGGATGTTTGAATCACTAGGGAATGTGACCCCCCCAGGCTGAAGCAGGCTACTCAGCAATGGTCCAACTCTTATGAAGGCAACTTCATCCATGATCAGAACTTTTGTCTTGTCACTGCTAGACTATACAGTGGTACCTCTGGTTGCGAACAGTTCCGGAGGCCCGTTCGTAACATGAAAAGTGTGCAACCTGAAGCGCTGTATCTGCACAGGTGTGCGGCACACTTTGGCGCTTGTGCGCATGCGCGAGTGGCGAAACCCGGAAGTAACCCTTTCCAGTACTTCCAGGTCACCACGGGACACAATCTGAAAAAAAATGTAACATGAAGGAAATATAACATGAGGTATGATTGAGAGCCAGTGTGGTGTAGTGGTTAAGAGTGGTAGACTCGTAATTTGGTGAACCGGGTTCGCTTCCCTGCTCCTCCACCTGCAGCTGCTAGGTGACCTTGGGCTAGTCACACTTCTCTGAAGTCTCTCAGCCCCACTCACCTCACAGAGTGTTTGTTGTGGGAGAGGAAGGGAAAGGAGAATGTTAGCCGCTTTGAGATTCCTTCAGGTAGTGATAAAGCGGGATATCAAATCCAAACTCTTCTTCTTCTTCTACCAGAAAATATGGCTGGGGCTGATGGCAGTCAAAGAGACAAAGGTACCTCAACCCTGATTTAGATGATACCCTGAATTGTGTGAGCAATTCAGTCTGAGAGCAGCAGCAGTGAGCCAACTTGTGATTATAAACCAGGATGAGACTCCTAACTCTAAGATTAGGAGGCCCTGACGCTATAGCAGCATCAGAAACACCCATGCTGTTACAAGATTTAATCTCTGCAACAAAACAAAAAAATCCTACACTAGCACTATATAAATCTTTACTTAACAGGAAGAAATACGATTTTACTACATTAGAATATGAAAGACAAAGACGGAGTAAAGAGCTAGGAGTATAGATAACAAATGATATACGGGCGACAAGTATAAAATCAATAGAAAAAGCCTCTATGGATTTAAGGCTTAGACTTATTCAACAGAAAATGGTATTTAGAGTCCACTGGACTCCAGCAAGATTCTATCAGAAGAAAATAACAAGTGCAGATAATTGCTGGAGATGTGGGAGTAAAAATGCGAACTTAATACATATGTTGATTAACCACCCAATGATCAGACCATTCTGGAGCAAGGTGAGGATATTTAAAGCAAAAGTAATAAAAAGAAACTGTTATTTAGGGGAACTGAATTTAATTCTAAATTATATTCCAGAAACTTGGAAGTTCTTGCGGGGCCAAAAAAGGTGGTTGTATATTAGAAGCAAAAAACAACAACAACTTGTTTTGATGAATTGGAAGTCACAAAAAGATTCCACTGAGCATATGGATTGATAATATGGACAGATTAGCTACATACGAAAGAATTGCTTGTTGACGCAAAATAAGAATGGATAAATACAAAGAAATTTGGAACAAATATCTAAGTGACAAGGCAGATAACAGTGGGAAATAGAGGGAGGAGAGAATGGTGATAAACAAGGAGTAGGCATAGAGACATCACCTTACCAGCAAAGGTCCGTATAGTTCAAGCTATGGTTTTCCCAGTAGCGATGTATGGAAGTGAGAGCTGGACCATAAAGAAGGCTGATCACAGAAGAATTGATGCTTTTGAATTATGGTGCTGGAGGAGACTCTTGAGAGTCCCATGGACTGCAAGAAGATCAAACCTATCCATTCTGAAGGAAATCAGCCCTGAGTGCTCACTGGAAGGACAGATCCTGAAGCTGAGGCTCCAGTACTTTGGCCACCTCATGAGAAGAGAAGACTCCCTGGAAAAGACCCTGATGTTGGGAAAGATGGAGGGCACAAGGAGAAGGGGAGGATGGAGGACTAGATGGTTGGATAGTGTTCTCGAAGCTACCAGCATGAGTTTGACCAAACTGCGGGAGGCAGTGGAAGACAGGAGTCCCTGGCGTGCTCTGGTCCATGGGGTCATGAAGAGTCGGACACGACTAAATGACTAAACAACAACAACAACAAGAACAAGGCATGGGGTATTACTGTATCTAAATTTGCGCTGTCAGTTTGTGTTATTATTGTTATTATGGTTTTTTCTTGTACGTGTCTTTTTAGTTTGGTGTTTGTACTGACTGGAAAAAGTGAATAAATAAATAATAATAAAAACAACTCAACAGTGGCAAAGCACACTTGTAAAATCCCTTAAGTCCATACTTCACCTGGAATGATCCAATGCAGAGCTCCAGGGAGAGCCGGACCCCCACGTTGGCGTAATCGGGAAGAAAATTGAAGATGATGTAATGTGTCCCAAACAGAGGGATGAGGAGCAGAGTTGACTTACAGAGACGCCTGGGTTTGGGAGGAGAAATCGGGAGGAAAACACGGTCATGACTCCTTGGCTTACAGAAAACGGGCACAAGATGGCGCTCCCAGCATCTCAATTGATCTAAAGTGACGTTCGGGGCCGTTGGAACTGGCAAGGCAGGAAATGAGGGGAGCCGCCAAATGGTGGAATTTGAGCCAATGGAAAAGAGAGCAAAATGATCCTAGCTTTGTCCTCACTGCCTATCTGTTGATGGGAGGCAACGCTAATGAAATATACTTGGAGTCGAAAGTGGATTTCATGCTCATTATTCAGCTCATAGTGGTGAGGAGGAATGGAAGTTCCCCCAGAATGTCTGCTTTATCTACATTATTTACACAGTGGGCCCAACGTGATTGACTAATTCCAGGATTCTCCTATAGGCCAATCAGGTTGCGGATTCACTTCCACCTGGAACTGGATTGGGTGGCTCCTGTGGACCAATCAGACTGCTGCATTCTGAATCCTATTGTTCTAGGACCAATCAGACTGCTGCCTTTTGGATCCTATTCAACTCAGCACATAACAGCTAACAAGGAGGTGCAGCCCTTGGCACCTCCTGCGCTGGTTGTAAGTAAAGAGGCAGGTGGGTGTGACGTTAACATATGAGAGTGCTGGAGGTGAAATAGTTAAACAGGTTACCCAATCAGGACCCAGGGGGTGGAGTCAGAGGGACTATAAAACCGGCTCTGGGAGGGGCGAAGGGGAGAGTTCATTGGGAGTTGGGTGGTTGGTTGGAGTGGGAGTAAATTGGGATAGAGTCTGTGGGTAGGTTGAGTTAGTGTAGCAAAATAAGCTGAGTCAGGAACAGTTAGGAGCTAGGAAGACAAGTAAATATCTGAGAGGTGGTTTAGTGAGTGAGAGCAAGTAGCGGAAGTTATAGGTCTGGATAGGCACCCCATGATTGTAATTAACCGATGCCGTTTATGAAACCACATGCTTGTTAAACTGCAATAAATAAACAGAAGTTTATGTTCCAATTTAACCCTGACTGGACTCAGTATTGTACCAGCTAGGGCCTGGGTGGTGGCAGCGAGAAATAAAGTGGTGGCACAGGGATCAATAGACGGTGAAACATCCGGGGACCTTGTGTGCCACAGTGGGGACTGGCTGAGATTGGTGGATCAGTGCCCCATTCCCTCATACTCTGTGGCCATGAATCCTGTACATTTGCTAAAGGAACTTCCTTCCATCCTAAGCTTTCTACCACTCAGGCAGAGAGAGAGCAGGACCACACTACTGGCCGAGAGACTAGAAACATTTGGCTTCTCCTCTCCTCAAACTGTTTATACTCCAGTTTTATAACTAAGAACTAAGTGCCTGGGTTTGCTTGTTTTTCCTCCTCCCTCCTCCTCCCTTTTTTCCTTTTGTGCTGTGCCTCTTAGATCGCAAGCCTGGGAGCAGACACTGCCTCATTATTGAAATGTACAAGCCATTCCGGGAGCCTTTTTAGCCAAAGAGTAGGGGTTTGGTTTTTTTAATGCCTGAAATAAATAAAATAGTACATAAACAATCATTCCCATCGTGTCACACCCCACCCCAGATGTTCTAGAATTAAGGAATGAAAGAGAAGCATTCCACTACCTTCACCCCATTCCAAATTCATAGGAACCTCAGATCTTTCTCTAAGCCCTCTGCTCAAAAATGTGTTCACAGTATGCAGCCTGCCAGCACTTCTTCCTGCTGGCTGGTTCCACTCAATTCACCTGTACTGAGATGAGTTGTTGAAACTGATTTGTCCCGGGTCTAGTTTTTTCAGCAGGATTCTGATGATGTTGATAAAAAGAATGAAGTTGACCTGTCCCAGATATAGGGAGGAGAGAGGGGAAGAGGGAAGAAGAGAGCACAGTTAATGTTAACACAATAAAAAATTTTATTGATTGATGGATTGATTGGCCGCCCTTCACCAGATTTAATATATAGCCTCAAAAATGTTCTGGATGGAGAAATGATCTTGAGCGCTGAGGGTCTGCTTTGGGGGAATGGGGGAGAATATTCAAATCATATTCTGGAAAACACACTTGTTTTCTTTCTTTTCTTTTCAGATATATTTACAGTGGTACCGCTGGATGCGAACGGGATTCACTCCAGAGCCCCGTTCGCATCCTGAAAGGAATGTAAGATGCGATTGCGCATCTGCACCTGTGCAGGTCATGTTTGGCCACTTCCTTGCATCATTTTGAGCATCTGCGCATGCGCGAGCGGCAAAACCCGGAAGTACCATGTTCCGTTACTTCCAGGTCGCCGCGGAGCACAACCTGAAAATGTTCAACCTGAAGTGTATTCATCCCAAGGTATGACTGTATTGATACTTGCCCAAAGATATACAAAAGTTCATACCCAATACAAGCACTCTCTTTTTCTATGGGAGTTAAAAAGAAAAAAAATTCTCAGAAAACCCTCTTCCGAGAAGGTTTGGCTTACTCTGCAATAAACCATGACATTAACAACAACAACCAAATAACCACTAGAACCACCAGATAAAACTAAGCTGTAGGCAAGATTTAAAAAGGCCTTGATCAACAGAGACTGGGATGAAGCGTTAGCAGTCTTTGAACTTCTCTCTCTCTCTCTCTCTCTCTCTCTCTCTCTCTCTCCCCCTTAACACACACACACACACACACACACACTGTTATGAAAGCCAGAACATCCCACCATTCAAGTGTAAAGGTAAAAGGTAAAGGGACCCCTGACCAGTAGGTCCAGTCGTGGCTGACTCTGGGGTTGTGGCGCTCATCTCGCTTTATTGGCCGAGGGAGCCGGTGTACAGCTTCCAGGTTATGTGGCCAGCATGACTAAGCCAGAGCAACAGGGTGATGCAAGGGCCAGTTTTTGCATTCTTGGGAACTGTGGTCTTCCATGCATAGGAGGAAGAAATGAGGCTATAGTTCAAGGGTGCTGAGAGAGGAGCCCTCTATTCTCCTTCTGGAGCTACAATATTCCCAGAATAGTTTAACAATCAATCTCTCTTCATGGGGAATTGTAGCTCTGGGAGGAGAGAGGGTGCTCGTCTCTCAATACCCTTAACAAACTACAGTTCCCAGAATTCTTTGAGGAAGCCATGAAGGTTTAAATTGGTGCCATGTAATGTGTGAATGTGGCCATAAACAGAGAAAACTGTAAAGGTAAAGGTAAAGGTAAAGGTAAAGGGACCTCTGACCATTAGGTCCAGTCGTGGCCGACTAGGGTTGTGGCGCTCATCTCGCTTTACTGGCCGAGGGAGCCGGTGTACAGCTTCCGGGTCATGTGGCCAGCATGACTAAACCGCTTCTGGCGAACCAGAGCAGCGCACGGAAACACCGTTTACCTTCCCGCCGGAGCGGTACCTATTTATATACTTGCACTTTGATGTGCTTTCGAACTGTTAGGTGGGCAGGAGCAGGGACCGAGCAACAGGAGCTCACCCCGTCACAAGGATTCGAACCACTGACCTTCTGATCGGCAAGTCCTAGGCTCTGTGGTTTAACCCACAGCACCACCCGCGTCCCCATTCAAGTGTACAAAAAGGCAAATAGGATACATACCCCAACAGAAAAGATAATGGGTCCTTTGATTAGCCACCAGTAAGGAGAACCTTGGTTTGCATCCCAGCAACTGGAAAGAACATGCAATGGTTAATGCAAATGAATGTGCGATCTTTTCTGAATATTGTATGACTGAATTATTTATCCTTCCTCTTGTGTCTCCCTCTCCATTGGTATTGGTGGAGTGGGGGGTGGTCCTACTATTTTACAGAGACAGCTGCCTCAGGTGACAGCTGCTGGCAGCAATGAAATGTGGGAAGACAGTGCTTGTATGTGCAACACAGCTGACCTGTGGCACCCTCTAAACAAGGCAGTCTTCAATTGCTTTGTCTCATTTTTGCATCACTTTACAATCTCTTTTGTTTAAAAAGTCCTCCCCAAAAATTTGCCAGCATTTTATTGTGTATTTTTTAAAACTGTTTTGCACAAATCAGGGATGTCCCTGGAAGACAGGTACACTTGGAGGGTCTGAGACGAGAAATGCCATAAGGGACTTCCGGTGTGGTGTAGTGGTTAAGAGCGGTAGACTCGTAATCTGGGGAACCGGGTTCACATCTCTGCTCCTCCACATGCAGCTGCTGGGTGACCTTGGGCTAGTCACACTTCTTTGAAGTCTCTCAGCCCCACTCACCCCACAGAGTGTTTGTTGTGGGGGAGGAAGGGAAAGGAGAATGTTAGCCGCTTTGAGACCCCTTTGGGTAGTGATAAAGCGGGATATCAAATCCAAACTCTTCTTCTTCTTCTTTACCTGAGCAATAATGATCTTCCAGGCAATTTTTTTGGATTTTTGTGTGTGTTAAGCATCAGCCCAACACTAATTTGACCACTTTAAGCCTGCACATCTTGTGATACACACACACTACAATGCAAACACAGGTCAACAGCCACCACTTGCAACGTTTGCAATAGCAGGTTGACCACCAAAAAGCAGATGAGCACCTCCAAGGTGAGTAACCATGCATGGCTCAGAGATCCATTGCTTGGTGGGCCAGTATTTCTGGAAGCCTGGATTACTTTCTTGTTTCCTGTGCCTTCCCCCCACCCTCATTTTTATGAATCTGAACACAGAACATGACTCACGAAATGTCTTCAAAATGCACCTTGACTAATATCCACAGTATGGTAAAAAACGTTGGAACACCTGTAGGATTGAAAACAGAGGACATGGTGATTTTTATGGATGCAATCAACCCACATAATTTTCCAAAACCAACCACCTACTTGTTAAGGGGACAGATCCTTGATCTGTGTCTCTAGAGCAGGTGTGATGAACCTTTGGCTCTCCAAATGTTGCTGTACTACAACTCCCATCATCCCTGGCCATGCTTGTTGGGGGCTGATGGGAGTTGTAGTCTAGCAACATCCAGACAGCGGTGGTGCATATGCCCGTGCTGCCCAGGGTGGGCGCACTCCCGAGGGGGGCATGACATGCTCCTGACGGGGAGTGTGGTGCGGAGGGTGCCCTCCCAGGCACGGGATAGCCGCTCGGGTGCCCGGTGTTGGGATTCCATTCCACCCTTTGGTGCAGACATGGGATTGTTACATGTCACATGTCTGTTTATATTCCAGCACAGATTGCTGGTGTGAGCAGAACTTCCGCTCTTTATGGCTTTTGTTTTCTGTCTCTTTCCAAGAAGACGGCAAGGAGAGATGCCATGATTTCTTTGCCCTGATTTATGTATAATAAATGCGTAGTTTAGTATGTGTCTACAGCCTCAAGCCTCTTCTGTTGTGCAGTTTACACTGCTGAGTAAAGTGTGCTCAAGTCTGCAAGCTCTGCATGTTGGAGCAGAGGTTGATGGATCTCCGCAGCGGTAGGGCTGAGGGGCGACGCTCCAGATGGGACCGAGCCAACTGGCCTTTTTGACCCCTGATTCTGACATTGAGGTTATGGGCCCAGATCTGAGGCTTTACACTGGAGTAGGACTGCTGTTGGCTGCTGCAGCATTCTGGGGATTTATGAGGTAATGTGCAGCGTGCACAGGATCAGAGTTCAAGGGCAAATTCCAGCCAGGCAAAAGCACTCGGGGGTGAAGCAGAGTTAGTAAGGGGAGTGGTCTGGAGAAACGTCTAGGGGCCAGACTTGGGGTGGCTTGGAGAGCAGCATTTGGCTTGCCAGCCTGAGGTCCACCACTGCTGCAAGTCCTCCTCACTTACCCCAGCCAAACAGCATGAGCCACCAGTAATATTTTCTTCCATGGGGAAAGGACGACAGCAGCAGGCAGTTGAGGTAGAGAGCTTCCACCAGCAGCCACATGAAGTTAGCCATTGTGAAATATTGACAGAAAACCACCGAGATCTTGCATTCGGTCTAAAGAACACAGAAAGTGAAACTTCAATGAACACCTTCATTTGTAGGGCATTGCTTTGGGTTTTTTGGTTGTGTGTGTGTCTGTTGTTATTCTTACTATTATTTCTTCAATTTGTATACTGCCCCTCATCAAAGATCTCATGGCAGTTCACAGCATAGAAATACAAAACAGAAACACAAAAGACATAATATGAACAAGAACAAACCAAACCCATAACCCTTCTATAGGTGCCCTGACATATTGCACAAACTACCCCTGAGTTTCAGGAGAGCTTCAGAAGGAAATTATGGAGAGGGTAGAAACATTCATTCAAATCTGAAAGCAAAGGAAAAAACCTCCAGGTATTATGGACTACAACTCCCATAATCCATGGCCATTGTCTGTGCTTGCTGGGGCTGATGGCAGTTGGAGTACAACATTTGGACACAGGTTCCTCACCCCAGTTCTAACAGCATCCATGTGTAGGATTTGTAGATTTGGGGCATATCCGTTTCTCATTTTTCAAATTCTCCACATTTTGCAGCAATTTGTGAATTTTATTTTTAAAAGATTTGTCAGCCTAACCTTACCGTATGCTTGTGAAACACGGACCACTTATAAACGCCATCTCCAACTCCTCAGAAGATTCCATCAACGGTGTCTCCAAAAAAAAATACACATCACTTGGGAAGACAGGCAAACTAATGCCAGTGTACTGGAAGAAGCAAAGATCAACAGTGTTGAAGCAACGATTCTTCAACATCAACTTCGTTGGACTGGTCATGTGTGGATGCCTGATGATCGTCTTCCAAAGCAACTACTCTATTCTGGACTTAAAAAATGGAAAGTGTAATGCTGGTGGTCAACAAAAGAGGTTTAGAGACTCTATCAAGGCAAGGCAAATCTTTAAAAATGTAGTATAAACACCGACAACTAGGAAACACTTGCCTGTGAACGCTCCAATTGGAGAACAGCCTTTACCAAAGGTGTCACATGCTTTGAAGACACTCAAACTCAGGATGAAAGGGAGAAACTTGCTAAGAGGAAGGCACGCTTGGCAAATCCACACCATGATCAACTCCCACCCGGAAACCAAAGTCCCCACTGTGGAAGGACGTGTGGATCCAGAATTGGCCTCCACAGTCACTTATGGACTCATTGTTAAAACCGTGTTTATGGAAGACAATCTTACTCGGCTACGAGGGATCACCAAAGAAGAAGAAGAAGAGTGCAATTTTCTTTCACCAATGCACACGTTTCCACAAGCAGTTTCCCCTAATATAATGCATTTTGTATGTTATTTTTACGAATAAGTTCCTTTTTTATGTTTGCTTCCTCCCAGTGCTATTTTTCTAGATAAAGAAGTGCCAGAACTCACCATGAACGCCTCCCTTGTTCTCTTATAACGGCAATGGTGCCCAACCTTAGAGGTGCTGGAACAGAGTTCTGGTGAGTTCCAGCTGAAAAAAAGCCTTACTTCCCCTCATATCTGCATTTTTGTAAACGTTGTTTGCAGTTGGAGGCAAGAAAGCTTCCAAATTTGTTGGAAACCAAAGAGGTGAGGGCTGCTTGTGGGTTTCCACAGGCATCTGGTGAGCACAGGATGCTGGACTAAATGGACCACTGGCCTCATCCTCCAGGCTCTTATGTTCTTATGTTTGGAGAACTACACCACAAAATTCAGATAAGTGTGAATTTTGAAAATTAGCTGTGTTTCGGTTTGCATTTTATCATCATTATCGTTATTATTAAATTTATACTCCAACCTTTTCCCTCAAGTTAGTTTACAGATTAAAAAATGAAAACAGCTAAAAACAAAATGTTTTGGAAAATTCTGATTTGATAGATTCAGCATTAAATGAGTGTTGAGTTGCTCTTTTCCTCCCATCCCTCTCAGGGACTTGTTATACCCAGAGAAGTGGTGGTTAGTCAGGGACATTCAGACTCGGTAACCAATTCATGAAATTGAGCTGCTGTGTTCCTAAGGCCTGACACCCAGCCAAGGCTGTGAAGATTGTATTCTTGTTAATAAAAAGTTAACTCCGACTTTGAATGGTGTGATTTACTGCCGGCTCACTCTGTGACAGACTCTGTCTCCAGCTGAAAGCAGAATGCCAGATTACATGAAGCTTTGTTCTGCTAGAACCAGGCAGTTGGTGTGTCCCTCCCTCCCTTTAGGTTCTTCAGAAGGTTCCCAGGCTATAGTTTGTGCTTTAGGAGAAGGAGCAAGCAGAAGAAAGCAGCCCTGGTACCCTTGTGGCCATGACACACACAGATGAAAACCAGAGACACAAGCAAGTCACACTTTTTTACACCTTACCGTGGAAAAGCTACAATAGTCAACATCTTCTGTTTTGAAAAGAACCTCATCCTTGACGAAGACGGCAATGGTCTTCAGGATGAAGGTGAAAAAGAGATGGACATGGATGTAGTTTCTGGGGCAACGGAGCCTCCTGCAGGAGTAGAACATGGAACCATAAGAGGCTGAGAGCAGAAGCTAAGAGACCGTCAGTGTCAATCCTATGCTTGTCTACCTAGTAAACTTAAGTAGTAGTAATAGTCGTCATCATCAAAATTTTACTATTTATACCCAGACATTCTGGCCGGTTTCCAATGCATATAAAAACACCAAACATTAAAAAACTTCCTGATACAGGGCTGCCTTCAGATGTCTTCTAAAAGGTGTGTAGCTCCTTGACATCTGATGGGAGGGTGTTCCACAGGGCAGGCACCACCACCAAGAAGGCCCTCTGCCTGGTTCCCTGTAACTTCACTTCTCACAGTGAGGAAACCACCAGAAGGCCCTTGGAGCTGGACCTCAGTGTCCCGGCTGGACAAGGGGGTGGGGACGGTCCTTCAAGTATACTGGTACAGAGACCATTCAGGGTTTTAAAGGTCAGCATCAACACTTTGCTCGGAAGCATACTGGGAACCAATGTAGATCCTTTAGGACTGGTGTTATATGGTTCTGACAGCCACTTGCTGTCACCAGTCTAGCTGATGTGATAAAAGATAGCTCAGTGTTCAGGCAGAAATGGAATCCCTTTGGAGGAAGGGATTCTCCTAAAGTCATATACCTCTCGTGATTCACCCCTCCCTCAGCACAGCATGCTACCTGTCAGGTTCCCATGAACATACCTGAATGCGATGAGGACCATGATGGCCATAGCAAGGGAGGTGGTGGAGATGCTGTAGCCCACAGTGTAGATGGTTTTGACGGTTGTCAGGTAGGCGTGCTGAAATGGAAGGAGAACAAGGGCATCGACAGGATGAATCTTATTACAGAAAAGTATTGGATAGCCGTTACCAGACGAACCCAAAATATTGAACCATTTGAAAGATGCCGTACTAGAGGAGGATTTGGCGGTAACATTGAACTATCTCCTGCAAAATAAAAATGGCTAAATCATTGGGGGGGGGGTAGCCACCACCACCAGCCCCAGTCTCAGAATGGTTTGAAAGAATCTGAGATATTGTAAAGTTGTTTGAATTCATGTCCTACAATAGAGCAACAAATGTACAAACAAAGAGATTCTTGCAAAGAGGGGCACCATCAGTTATGATCTGGGAGGATAAATGCCCTGTGGTCTGTTATGCAATGGTCTGAGAACCTCACTGGCCTGGCTGCATTTGAACGTCAGTTTCATGTGGATATCTGTTTGGACATCTGGAGGCTGTAAGTTGACTTATATGTTTGACTTAAGGTATATGTATTGGTAGGGAGCGGGTGGCCCTGTGGTTTAAACCACTGAGCCTCTTGGGTTTGCTAATTGGAAGGTCGGCGGTTCAAATCCCTGTGACGGGCTGAGCTCCCGTTGCTCTGTCCCAGCTCCTGCCACCCTAGCAGTTCGAAAGCACAGCAGTGCAAGTAGATAAACAGATACCGCTGTGGTGGGAAGGTAAACGGCATTTCCGTGTGCTCTGGTTTGCGTCACGGTGTCCCATTGTGCCAGAAGCGGTTTAGTCATGCTGGCCACATGACCTGGAAAGGTGTCTGTGGACAAACACCAGCTCCCTCGGCCTGAAAAGTGAGATGAGCGCCACACCCCATAGTTGCCTTTGACTGGACTTAATCGTCCAGGGGTCCTTTACCTTTACTTACAAGTATTGGTGGCTTCTGTGCCCACTGATGGTGGGGTTTTGTTATTTCTTATTTGTTTAATGCATTTCTATTCAACTCTTAAGCCAGGAAGGTTCCCCCAGTGACTTAGATACATCCAATTAAAGCAGGATTGTCCCTGCCCACAGGCTTACAATCAGAAGAAACACGACACACTGGTTTCCCAGGGTAAGAGGCTGGGAGGAGAAAGGAAAAATACCAGGTGAGAGCTGGGAGGAGCAAAGTAAGAATTACTTTGAAGAGACGACTCCATATTGCACTTACTTTGTTTGAATTTTTGTAACCGCTATTTTATTGTATTATGGAAAACTTTAATAAAAATTGAATTACCAAAGAAACATGATAACACAAGGGGAAAGGGGAACGGGAGTGGTGGCGAATGAAAACCCAGGCACCAATTCTTAAACAGTTATTATTAGTACTATTTGTAAATTATTTCTCTCTCTCTCTCTCTCTCTCTCTCTCACACACACACACACACACACACACACACATTTCTTTCCCCTTCTCTTTCTTTTTGCTAACTTTGTAAGTATTTTCTTTTTAAGAAATAAAATAAATGCTTTTAAATAACTAACAATTCTCTGTGGGCTTTAGCTACTGTTCCAAAACACTATCCGCTTCCCGTTGAATTGAAATATTGCAAATAGAAAGCAGGTTTGACGCTTAATGGTCAATTATAAGCAAATGGCAGACAACAATAACACGTGTGAGCCACAACAGTAATTCAGATTTCCATTCTACTGCTTGGAAAAAGATGTGCACTTTTGAACAGGGAACACAGTGTGCCTTTCAGACCACTGTGGATAATCTTTCCTTTGTGGTTGTTTGTTTGTTTACTGCCGCCATCCCACTCTTTGGCCCCGGAGGGCTTCCAGCAAACAATTAAATATTGAAACTACTAGGTTAAAAAAAATCAAAAACAACAACCCACATGAACAGAGCATATAATTATAAAATAGTGGAACGGTAAAAACAAATACAATAGAATCACAGAATTGTAGAGTTGGAAGGGACCATGAGGGTCATGGAATCAAACTCCCTGCAATGCAGGAATCTTTTGCCCAACGTGGGGCTAGAACCCACAATTCTCATGCTATAAATAAATGAACAATCTGGGACAAGCAAGCATAAGCTCCTGAAATTCTTCAGGTATAGATTCCAACAAATCTTCAGAAATATTGTGTGCTCTACAGTGAACAACCAAACGGTTTTGAACCTCAGCATCCCTCCCTGCAGCCTGCTTCGAAAACAGCAATTATTAGAGATAGTTTTTTAGTCTTTGAAACCTCAGGGGAGGCAGGAACACCACTGAGCTCATAACCTAGAAGCCTTGGAGCCAACCCTCTCAGCATCAGCAAGCGCCAGGGGGTCCCCAAGAGGGTTGCTAAGCAACAGGGCTTTCCTTCCCAAACAGAGCTCTGCCACTATTAGTTTGGAGCAAATGTGTAGCAGTGGGCCAAACCTCTGAAGAGAAGCAGGAGATTGGCAGATGAAAGATATAAAAGAAGCATGAAGACCAGTCTTCCACAGGACAGGAAACGTATGGTGCTTTGTTCAACAAAAATATAAAACATGGCTGGCGAAACCTGTGGCCCTCCAGGTGTCACAATAACCCCAGCTCATGTGGATGATGGTCAAGGATGAGAAAACCTGCAACTTTTGATTGGCAACAGCTTCCCAACCCTGGTACAAAACCAAGGAAGCGGCCCAGACTTTGTGGGATGTAACATCACTGGAGCAGTCAAATACAACATTTCCTGTTTGGCCAGAGTGGACACACAGGGGAGTGTTGCTCCACCTGGCTTGAGAGCAGTACATGTGAAAAGGATCTAGGAGTCTTGGTTGACCACAAACTTGACATGAGCCAACAGTGTGACATGGCAGCTAAAAAAGCCAATGCAATTCTGGGCTGCATCAATAGGAGTATAGCAGTAATAGTGCCACTGTATTCTGCTCTGGTCAGACCTCATCTGGAGTACTGTGTCCAGTTCTGGGCACCACAGTTCAAGAAGAACACTGACAAACTGGAACGTGTCCAGAGGAGGGCAACCAAAATGGTCAAAGGCCTGGAAACGATGCCTTATGAGGAACGGCTAAGGGAGCTGGGCATGTTTAGCCTGGAGAAGAGGAGGTTAAGGGGTGATATGATAGCCATGTTCAAATATATAAAAGGATGTCACATAGAGGAGGGAGAAAGGTTGTTTTCTGCTGCTCCAGAGAAGCGGACACGGAGCAATGGATCCAAACTACAAGAAAGAAGATTCCACCTAAACATTAGGAAGAACTTCCTGACAGTAAGAGCTGTTTGACAGTGGAATTTGCTGCCACGGAGTGTGGTGGAGTCTCCTTCTTTGGAGGTCTTTAAGCAGAGGCTTGACAACCATATGTCAGGAGTGCTCTGATGGTGTTTCCTGCTTGGCAGGGGGTTGGACTCGATGGCCCTTGTGGTCTCTTCCAACTCTATGATTCTATGATTCCAGCCAGGAGGACCTCCTGTCTCACCTGGTCTGGAGCATCCTCCCCCTTCATGTGACTGGGTAGGTGGGCGTGACCCTGGCAGACCCCACAAAAGGGCCAGTCAGACACCCATCTTCCCTTCTCCCTTCTCTGTCTTGACTCTTCCTGGTGCTCTTATGCTGTCTGCTGGATCATTCACCACATGGGATGAACCCTCACTCTCTTCTGTAACTACAAGCTAAAGCCTGCCTTCAGGGGTCTTGCTGTGAACTGAATGTAAGTAAACTTCTTATTACTTTTAAAAGAAGACTGTTGTGTGATTATTGTTTTAAAGAGGGAGTTAAAGTTAAAGGGATAGTTAAAGGGATGTGGGAGGTGCAGTGGGTTAAACCACATAGCCTAGGGCTTGCCGATCAGAAGGTCGGCGGTTCGAATCCCCGCGACGGGGTGAGCTCCCGTTGCTCAGTCCCTGCTCCTGCCAACCTAGCAGTTCAAAAGCACATCAAGTGGAAGGAGATAAATAGGTACCGCTCCAGCGAGAAGGTAAACGGCGTTTCCATGTGCTGCTCTGGTTCGCCAGAAGCGGCTCAGTCATGCTGGCCACATGACCTGGAAGCTGTATGCTGGCTCTCTCAGCCAATAAAGAGAGATGAGCACCACAACCCCAGAGTCGTCCGCGACTGGACCTAATGGTCAGGGGTCCCTTTACCTTAAAGGGGAAATTACAAGAAACAAATCCAATCTGGACAAGCCAGACTGGATTGCTTAACTCAAGAGATTCTAACAAATCTACCAACTGGCTTCCTGCAATGTACAGGGAATGTGCTCTGCTACTAGCTCACTAGCATGAGTGAGGAAGGATAATATTTAATCAGTATATCCTCTCCTACTATCCACAACATTCCCACAGACTTGAGGCTGGTAGAGCTGGGAATGGTTCACACCAGCAAGGCCTTTGATGTTTACAACAGAGCAGAACAGGGAGCTGTCCGCCGGTTCCCTGACACCAGTGGTGCTGAAGCTGAGTAGTAGCCCTTGTAGGGCTACTCAGAATATGTTGGGGACTTAGACCAGAGGCCTGGGTTAGGGAGAAGGCAGGATGGTGCCATTCTAGACTCTTGAGTCAGAAGCCAAACTAAGCATTCCTTTTGAATGGTAGCAATCTAATGCCAAAGCAGTGTAGTGGCTAGATCAGAAGAAGGGGACTTATGGACCTCCATATGTACTTGGACTTCGGCTCTCAACAGGCCTAGCTGGCATGTCCAGTAGTCAGGGCTGATGGGAGTCCAACAGCATTGGGAGAGCTTCAAAGTCACACTCAACTATGAACCTAAGCCAATCTCTCTCTCTCTCTCTCTCTCTCTCTCTCTCTCTCCTCTCTCTCCCTCTCTGTCAAACCATGTACAGTGGTACCTCGGGTTAAGTACTTAATTCATTCTGGAGGTCTGTTCTTAACCTGAAACTGTTCTTAACCTGAAGCACCACTTTAGCTAATGGGGCCTCCTGCCGCTGCTGCCACTGCGCCGCCGGAGCATGATTTCTGTTCTCATCCTGAAGCAAAGTTCTTAACCTGAAGCACTATTTCTGGGTTAGCAGAATCTGTAACCTGAAGCATATGTAACCTGAAGCATATGTAACCCGAGGTATCGAACCCTATTCTGAATTTCTTGGAAGAAATGGGGGGATGTAAGACGCCTTCATGGATCACTGCCTTGTCATGGCGAAGGGGCTTGGATAACTCCAAGACGCTATGAGCTATGCCGTCCAGGGCCACCCAAGACGGGCAGGTCATAGCCAAGAGTTTAGACTAAATGTGATCCACCTGCAGAAGGAACTGGCAAACCACTCCAGTATTTTGCCAAGAAAACTCCATGGACATAAAAAAGAAGCTTTGAGAAGAAAGTGGGAGTTTCCAAGGCAAGCTGTGGTTCATGTTGTCACGGAGAGTCGAACACGACTAAGATGACTAAACAACAACAAAGAAATACGTTAAGTGTGGTACCCAAATAGTAGGAGGAAGAGTCCTTCCCTGACTTGAAAGGTGTGCCAGTCGAAGAGATTGTGATGGCCTGGGACTTGGGTTCGGACTTGGAACCAGAGGAGTCTCAGTCTGCACCGGATCCTTTGCCTCAGGCATTATCTGAACCAAGTCTGGGGCCTGATCCTGAAGAGTCCCAGTCTGCACAGGTTCCCCTGCGACACAAACACCAGCTGGGCCAAGTCAGGGGCCTGAGCCTGCCCTGGCTCCAGATGCAGGGATTACCTCCAGCTGGGCCATCACTTACAGCTGCTCCACTACCAGTTGGGTCAGGAGAGGCTGAGGCGGCCCCTGGGTCTAGTAACCCACCGACGTCTCCCGAGCTACAGAGACTAAGCTCTGAGAGAAGGAGAGACCTGAGTACTCGCAGGAGGAGTGCTCGCCTTCGGGTGAAACAGGGAGGTGAGTCGCCGGGGGATCAGGACCGGCCGCTACCCCGACAAAGATAAAAGGCTGTCGGACCCCGTCCCAGGTTGCGGGAGCAACATTGCTGTATGCTAGATCCTGCCTGAGATCCTGTACCTGTCCTTGCCTGGTTTCCTGCCTCGTGACCCGCCTTGGTCCTGTCTGACTGACTCCTAGCGGAACCTCTGGATTCTGGTCCGGTCCTGGGCTCCAGGGCCAGCACAGAGATTCCCCTATCAGCAAAGAAACTCAAACTGCAGAGTTAATTCAATGCCAACTTTTTGAGGCACCATTCCTTGCCATCCATCATGCTCTGCCTAATCGCAGGAAGCATTGATCTCCTGAAGAAGTTGCCCCCTTCCACCTCGCCTTCCCCCTGCCTCCCAAATACCAGGGAGTATCATTCTGAGGTACTTATTCAGATCTACCCACCTCATAAAGAGTCACCTCATCTTCCACTGGACATGCTGTGGAATAGGGAGGAAATGGGTCAGACCAGCCTTGAGCCGTACAGCTTCTTTTCACCGAGCCTGTGAACAACAAGAAGGAAAGAAGTCAGAAATGTAAGATGAATTTATTATTTCGGTCACAGACCAGCTCCAGCTCACACACAATATCAAGGAAGTCATAAAACACAATAGGGATACATCTGAATTTGCAATTGGGTATAACAGGGACAAGACAGATATAGCAGCAGTTAAAAATAAGTAAGTTAAATCTTAATCACTAAAATATAACCTAAGATTGTCATTTGAGGCCTTAGTCATTATGGTAGCACAGCTTGTTCCCTAAGTTTTATGGCAGTCACACAGAATTTGGCCATCCTTAGCGTGATCTCTGGATCCTTGTACTCTACAAGAGATTTTAGGCATTGAAGTTCGGACCCATTTGGAGATTTTTGTATAGCAGGGATGATAAGTGGCAAGCGTATATCCCCATAGAAATGACAGCGTAACAAGGCATGAGAGACAGTTTCTTCCTCCATCAAGCCACAGGGGCAGACTCGTTCCACGTATGGTTTACCCTCAAATCAGCCCTGCAATATGGCAGATGGCAGCACATTGAATCCAGAGAGGGTAAACAGCCGTCTGTATTTAGGTATTTGTAATTTTGACAAATTTATTGGTGAGGAGGTGGGGGTGCGGGCGTCACGCCCCGCCCCCGCGAGACCGGGGGAATCCCGGCCACGTCATCTACCCAGCCAGCCAATCGGGTGGCTGGGGAGGCATGGCCTGCCCTATTTAGGGTCGGCGCGGCCAGGGCCCGCCCTCTTTTCACCACGCCAGCTGACTCCCTCTACTAGTGTTAACCCTTGCTGGTCTTCATGCAATCAGGCTGAAGCCGGTTAGTCGATAGGACCAATGCCTAAGCCAATACCGCTCATTCCTGGAATCAATAAAGTTGTGGCCTAATTCGCCCATTAACCTAATACTTGGTGTCCTGTGTCTTTATTTCTCCTCGGGGGGGGGGGGGGGGGACACCCCACGCAACTTTTATTGCTGGGTGTTTGTTCATCTCACTTATGTGACATTGCAGTTCCACATCCCAAATTCGTTGGCGGAATATTGCTCTAGCTTTCCTCATAACCGACCGCTATCAGGACCGCTATCAGGTCCCAAGCCTCTTAGCTTTTTGTACAGTGTAGCTTTCCATTTGGATTGGTAGGAATCCAGCAGGGTTACGGGAGCCAACCCGAGAGGGAAAAATGTAAGATGGGATTCTCTCAGTTCTAAACTGCCTCTTCTGAGTCCTGTTCTCTTGCAAACTGTGGGTCTCTGCTGCTCATTACAACAATTGAGGAACCCCTACCATTTACCGTATTTTTTGCTCCATAAGATGCACCTGACCATAAGACACACCTAGTTTTTAGAGGAGGAAAGGGGGAAAGCCCTGTTTTGGGGGGGATCAGCTCAAAGTTGTGCAGATTCTTTTGCAAAGAGGAAAAGCCCCCCTTTTGAGGATCAGCTCAAAGTTGTTGAGCTTACTTTGCAAATGGAAAAAATCCTGTTTTTATGGGGTTCAACTCACAGTTCCGCAGCTTCTTTAGGAAAGGAAAGTAAGCCGTTTCTACACTTTCCAGACAGATAATCTAATCAGCCAGTCACATGTAGCTGGGGGAACAAACAGCCTCCATCTGCAGAACATTCAACAATGGAGGCCTGGGCAAGGCGGCGGGGCCAGAAAGGGAGCCAGTGATCAACCACACATTCGCTCCATAAGATGCACAGACATTTCCCCTTACTTTTTAGGAGGAAAAACGTGCGTCTTATGGAGCGAAAAATACGGTATGTCACTTCTACGAAAAATCAGAAGTTTTACTGGAAACTGTGTCCTTGGAAACATTGGAGGGAATTACTGAAAAAGATACCTCAGGTAGCAATATGCAAAGGGTTAAGCGCAGTTGTAAACAATGCCTAGAAACAAATCAACACAACGAGGGTCATGGCACCCTCACCTGGATGCTTTGTGAAGTGGAGAAGGATGCCCGGGCAGGTAAAGGTGAGCGTTTGTCCAGCATTTGTATCCGGCCAGCACAGGAGTTGGTCCCATATTCTCTTGCAACCTTGCAAAGGGAGGGGAAAAGACACTTTGAAATCTCACATCTTTTCGCCATTCTTGGAAATGGGAATGCAAAAGCTAATAGGATTATCCCAGTGCCCTGAACTGAGTCCAGCGGCTGATTTGTAACCTCTGGAGCTCCTTCAATATCGTGGCTATAATATTCCTAAATCCATTGGAGGGCATCTCAACCAAAATGTCACAAAACAGCATGCTTTCAAGGACCCAGACGTTATTATCAGGCTAGACGTTGGCGATGGGGACAGGACCACAAGGGGTGGGGGGGGGGGGAGAGAAAAAGCTCTTGGTATTAGTTAAGCCATCCATATACAGTGGTACCTCTGGTTGCGAACGGGATCTGTTCCAGAGCCCCATTCACAATCTGAGCAGAACGTAACCCACGTCTGCACATGCACGGGTCACAATTCGCCACTTCTGCGCATGTGCATGACGTCATTTTGAGCTTCTGTGCATGCGCGAGCAGCGAAGCCCAGAAGTAACCCTTTCCGGTACATCCAGGTTGCCACGGGACGCAACCTGAAAATGCTCAACCTGAAGCAAACGCAACACGAGGTATGACTTTAAGAGGGAATATGGGAGGAGCTAAGAGCCATTCAAATGAGACACTTTCAGATGCTTTAGGTTTAGGGAAATTCTTCCCAGGGAGGTTGGTGAAACCTGTAAGCACATGAAATGCTCTGTTTGAATGTCTGCTAGCTGCTCCCTCATTCCTTCTTAGAACTTATCAAATGCAGACGTCATTGGATGGAGTGACTCCAGCTGCCTTTTCTTCCATTTCCCCCTTTTAAGTTAAACTATAGAAATAGTAAAACTATGGAATGTGCTCTTTCAGGAGGCAGTGATGGCCACCAAGCTGGATGGCTTTTGAAGATGTTGAGACAAACTCACAGAGGGTAAGCTTATCAATGTCTACTAGCCAGGATGGCTGTGATTGTCTCCATGGTTGGAGGCATCTCTGCTTCTGAATACCAACTGGAATACTGCTGGAAACCACGTAAGGAGAGAGTGCTCAAGTCCAGCAAGCATCTGTTTGGCCACACTGTGAGAACAGGATACTGGCCTCCTCTTTTTTCCCTTTTTTTCTTATGTTTGGGTTTTTAAATACCTAGCTTGATGGAGAACTCTGCAGAACTAGGAAGCTTGTGCACTAATTTGTGGCATTTTGGTTGGCCTACAATCAAGGGTTTGCTCTAATATGGACATCGGGATTTCCCTTATGAAATCCCGGCTCTACCTTTACGTTTTGTGTGACTGATGTAATGTACTCACTGAAGTTCACCCCAACCAGTAACCAGGCAGCCTCATTCTGCACCCCTCGAAACACCCAAACTATATTAAAGGGGTTTCCCGCACCGAGTGAAAGTTAGTAATCAAACTGCAAAGTGAATGAAGGTAACACCAGGCTCCAGGACCTAAGCAAAACACAGGCTGCACAACTGTGGCCCAACACCTTAACGCTGACTAGGTAAAGGGACCCCTGACCATTAGGTCCAGTCATGGACGACTCTGGGGTTGTGGCGCTCATCTCGTTTTATTGGCTGAGGGAGCCGATGTCCAGCTTCCAGGTCATGTGGCCAACAAGACTAAGCCACTTCTGGCGAACCAGAGCAGTGCACGGAAACGCCGTTTACCTTCCCGCCGGAGCGGTACCTATTTGTCTACTTGCACTCTGTGCTTTCGAACTGCTAGGTTGGCAGGAGTAGGGACCGAGCAACGGGAGCTCACGCCGTCACGGGGATTCGAACCGCCGACCTTCTGATCGGCAAGCCCTAGGCTCTGTGGTTTAACCCACAGCACCACCCGTGTCTCTCTAAAATAGATACATGCGGGCTACTTGCACACCCCTCTCTGCCCTCTATCCCTGCAAGTGAAAGGCATGATCAGAGTTTGAGGACTTGTTGTTTCAGCCAAACAAAGGACACTTAAGGAAGGTGTGAAGCAGAAGTGGTGAGGGGCGAGCGTCAAGAGCTAGAATGGAGGTCTGGGGTCCCAAGGCATGAAATTTCCCAATCTTGAGATATCCAATGCCTCTCCAGAGACCCAAACACCACTTCTTCTAAGGTACCTGCTGTTTCATTCATGTGCTGCCGAATCTCCTTGAGGCATTCACTCTCATTTTTCTTCCATTCTGTTAAAGCTTCACATTCTGCTTGAGACATTCCAAGACCCTGGAAACAGGGGAGAAATAAGAGGCACATTGATACAACCTCACCTTCTTTCCCTCTCTGCACCCCCACAAAAAACCCTCCTTGTAGTACAATCCTAACCACGGTCCCATCTGCACCATACATCTAAAGTATTATGATACCACTTTAAACAATCATGGCTGCCCCCCGGCAAAGAAACCTGGGAACTGTAGTTTGTTAAAGACAATAGTGAGAGTTGTTAGGAGATCATGTTCGCCTCCTAAACCTATAATTCCCGAAGTGTTCTATCAGTCAATCCCTCTTCCCTGGTAACTCTGAACATTGTAGCCCTGTGAGGCAAATAACACTCCCCTAACAACTCTCAACATCCTTAGGAAACTACAGTTCCCATGATTCTTTGGGAGGAGACCTATGGCTGTTTAAAGTGGTAGGATAGTGCTTTACATGTATAGTGCCCAGGTCTACTCAAATGCCCCTCCTACGGAATACAATGGGACTTACTCTCAGGGAAGTAGGGTGAGGATTGCAGCCTTTGTTGTTTGTGATGCTATTAACATTTGAGTGGTGTATTCCTCCCCTCTTCTTCCTTGCACATCCTACATCAGTTCACTACGTCAATCATCATTCAGTTGTTGAAAACGGTGAGACATGTAATAGTTATTACTGAATAAATGACTCAACATTGGGTATACCTGGTGCTCGGAAAAATCATAGAATTGTAGAGTTGGAAGGGAATCTGAAGCTCATCTAGTCCAACTGCCAGGGCCGGCTTACCCATAGGCGCTAGGGGTGTGGGGCACCCGGGCGCCGGGCTCTCAGGGCGCCAGGCCGAGAGTCCGGGGCAGAGATTTGGAGTCTGGGGATTGAAGAGCCAGGCCAGCCGACAGCCACTGCTGAGCAGAGCAGAGCTCGTTGGAGCACCACAGGGTTTTCTGTTGCGGGAGCTGAGGCGGCAGGCCGGCTCCGCCCTCCTGCGCTCCTGGGATTGGTGGGCTGTTGAGAGGCACACACACACTGCTCACATGAGGCGCGCAGCTTCTGTCCCAAGCCTCTGTGGGGATTGCTCTCCTCCCTCCACCCACAGCAGCATGGGAGAGAGTTGCACGCCCCCCCAAAAAAGCTGAACAACTCTGAGCTGCCCCCTAAACAAAGCTCAGAAACTTTGGCCTCCCCCCCAATTGGGGGCGCTGGGCAGTTTTTTGCACCCCAGCGCCACATATGCTAAAGACAGCCCTTCCAACTGCCTACAGTGCAGCTGTCCCGTACGGGGATCGAACCTGCAACCTTGGTGTTATCAGCACCAGGCTCTAACCAACTGAGCTATGCAACCTCTCCTTCCTAGAGACCACAAAGGATGCTGCCTTATGCAGAATCAAAACAGTACTCCATCAAGCCCAGCATTGTCTACTGTGATGGCCTGGGACTCGGGCTCAGACTTGGAACCAGAGGAGACTCTGTCTGCACCGGATCCTTTGCCTCAGGCGGCATCCAAACCAAGTCTGGGGCCTGATCCTGAAGAGTCCCAGTCTGCACTGGTTCCCCTGAAACAAACACCAGCTGAGCCTGCCCTGGCTCCAGATGCGGGGATGACCTCGTTGCCTTCAGCTGGGCCATCACTTACAGCTGCTCCACTGCCGGTTGGGTCAGGGGAGGCTGAGGCAGCCTCTGGGTCTAGTAACACACCGACGTCTCCCGAGCTGTGGAAACTAAGGTCTGAGAGAAGGAGAGGCCTGAGTACTTGCAGGAGGAGTGCTCGTCTTTGGGCAAAACAGGGAGGTGAATTGCTGGGGGATCAGGACTGGCCGCTAACCCGACAAAGATAAAAGGCTGTCAGACCCCACCCCAGGTTGTGGGAGCAACATTGCTGTTTGTGAGAACCTGCCCTTGTCCTTGCCTGGTTTCCTGCCTTGGCCCTGTCAGACTGACTCCCAGCAGAACCTTCGGATTCTGGACTGGTCCTGGACCACGTTTCACGGGTTACCCCCAGGCCCAGCACATCTACAGTGACTGACAGAGGCTCCCCAGCTTTGCCTGGCATTGCAAGAGATTGAACCCGGGTCCTTAGATGCTCTGCCACTAAGCTATGACTTTTCCTCAATTGTCAGCCTGATGCAACTTTTGCCATTTTTACCCCTGCAAGTATGGGAAAGCTTTGTAAGACTGGCCTTCCATCCCTTAGCGAACAAGTAAATTAGCACCACCAGGGGCTCTCTGCTAATCCCACTTTTGGACCACCCAATTTTCTGTGACTCACAGCCAATTTAAAACCTAGACGGGCATATACAGAGGATGTTATATATTATTTTGCTTTTTAAAAGGGCAAAGAGATGTTCCTCCAAATGTACCGAGCCATCTACAGATGACAATACAGTGGTACCTCGGGTTACAGACGCTTCAGCTTACATATGCTTCAGGTTACAGACTCCGTTAACCCAGAAATAGTACCTCAGGTTAAGAACCTTGCTTCAGGATGAGAACAGAAATCGCACAGCGGCAGCAGGAGGCCCCATTAGCTAAAGTGGTGCTTCAGGTTAAGAACAGTTTCAGGTTAAGAAAGGACCTCCAGAACGAATTAAGTTCTTAACCCAAGGTACCACTGTATAACACCGGTCCTGAAAGACCTACATTGGCTCCCAGCACATTTCTGAGCACAATTCAAAGTGTTGGTGCTGAACTTTAAAGTCCTAAACAGCCTCGGCCCAGTATACCTGAAGGAACATCTCCACCCCCATCATTCAGCCCAGACACTGAGGTCCAGCTCCGAGGGCCTTCTGGCAGTTCCCTCCCTGTGAGAACTGAGGTTACAGGGAACCAGGCAGAGGGCCTTCTCAGTAGTAGCACCACCCTGTGGAACACCCTCCTGTCAGATGTCAAGGAAATAAACAACTACCTGACTTTTAGAAGACATCTGAAGGCAGCCCTGTTTAGGGAAGTTGGTAATGTTTGATGTTTTATTGTATTTTTAATATTTTGTTGGAAGCCGCCCAGAGTGGCTGGGGAAACCCAGCCAGATGGGCGAGGTATAAATAATAAATTATTATTATTATTATTATTATTATTATTATTATTATTATTATTATTCCCCCCTTGCATTCTGGGATTCAGCACATGGCTACAAACTTTCCTTTTGGCCTCTGCTCCTGATTCTTTTGACTAGTCATGGCTCAATGCTACAACCCATTGATTTGTTCTTGTTAAGGGGCGGGAGAGAATGAGACCCAGAACAATCAAAACACGGTGAAATCGACCTACTTGACAGGTGGCCTAGCTGATGCTGCTCAGCTCATTTCCACACCAGCGGGATAAATATTCAGCAAGGTTTCCAGATCTCTGGATCATATATTTTTTTCGGGTCACATAGAGTACAGAAGGCAATGATTTCCTAATGCATGCGCTATTCATATTCACAGCCTTCTTCATTAATGAAGAGGCCTCCAGCCCAAAACATGGCTGGAGATGGCAAATACTTCACCCACTGCAAGTCTTCTATTTGCCACACTCCTTTCATTTCTGTAAGAAAGTAAAAAGAGCCTGCTTCTCCCTCTCTCCACACACTGTCCCAAGAGGGGAGCCTGTGCTATACTAAACCTTTTGGGTGCCTCTAGATTAGGGATGGGGAGAATTTCACAACCAATCCCTTTTTCCAGGGAACTCTGGGAACTGTAGTTCTGTGAGAGGGGAAAGGGTACCACTCCAGTGGGAAGGTAAACAGAGTTTCTGTGCGCTGCTCTGGTTTGCCAGAAGCGGCTTAGTCGTGACCCAGAAGCCGTCTGTGGACAAACGCTGGCTCCCTTGGCCTATAGAGCGAGATGAGCACCGCAACCCCAGAGTCATCCACGACTGGACCCAAAAGTCAGGGGTACTTTTATCTTTACCTTGGTTTACGAACTTAATCCGTTCTGGAAGTCCGTTCTTAAACCAAAGCATTCTTAAACCAAGGCGTGCTTTCCCATAGCAGTGGGGGACTCAATTTACAAATGGAACACACTCTGCCTTGGAAGCAGAACATGTTCTGCTTCCAAGGCAAAGTTCACAAACCAAAACACTGACTTCTGGGTTTGCAGCGTTCTTAATCCAAGTTGTTCATAAACTAAGCTGTTCTTAAACCAAGGTACCATTGTATAGCCAGAGCAGAGGTTTCCAACACTATGACTAACTGGGGGTGGGGTGGGGAGCTTAAACCCTCAAAAAATCCTCCCTGGATTTGGAGGTGTTCGATAACAATGGCTAACACCCCCTTTAATGGATTTGCTCATCAATGGGGTTGGTGGGACAACTTCAGATGGGCTTGGAGGCGATGGGTTATCAGGACTCACTTCAGTCTAGCTTCAGGCAAAATCACTGGATTCAAACTGGGAGCCAATTTTTTTGGAAGCATGGATCGTCCCAGCACTTGAGAAAAACATCGCATGAATTAAGCATTTAGTTTATATGCTGAACTGAAACTTTGGGACTCTCTTGGGCATCTTTCAGATTTTGCTTCCGAAACAAAGCTCTGAGGCTCACTCTTGAAGTCAGACCTCAAGCTTTGGCAGTGGGTTTTAAATGGCAACTTGCCACTGTGAATATTTTCACAACCATCACACACACCCTCCCCTTCAATCCTCAATTTATCCACAGCTGCAAATCTTGGGAACACTTTGAAATTAGGAGAACCTGCATCTGGAGTTTTTGCAAGCTAACTGACTGGAGAATTTCTTTCTCCCAGATTTGCTTTGCCACAGATGGAAACGGTGATGGTGGAGTGGAAAGCGTAGGTGGATTTTGCAGACAAGATTGGCAATTTCCCCAATTACTTGATTTATATTTCAAATAATGTACAAGTGACCTTTAGCAGAATACCGGAAGGGGTGAGGTAGTTGGAAGGGCAGCCTGGTACATAGTCAAACCATCAGTCCACCCAGTTCTGAATTGTGTACACTGACTGGTAGCAGCCCTTGAGGGTTTGAGGCATCTCCATGCCTATCCGTAGATGCCAGGACCACTCAGCAAGACATTTTAAGCAATACTCAAGGTGACAAACCAAGAGATCACACAAAGTTGCCACCACGTCCCCACGCAATGTTTCCCAAGCTCTGTCCCATCATTGTATCAGAACAAGCCCTTAAATTTCCTCATTTATTCCTCTTATCCTTAGTGCTTCTGAGAAACAGAACTGGAGCTCTCTAAGTCAGAGTTTGCGTTCACAGGAAACATTCGCAGGTAAGCAATGCAATTTGGCATTCAAAAGAAATCCCATTAGCGCACCTTTCTCTGCCCTTCTCTGAGCACCTTCTGCCAAGTCAACGCCAAAAGGAAGAAAGATTGATGCGATATCAAACAGGGATCTGATCCGAGCAGAAGTGGAGAGATGCACGGGAACAACGACAACAAGACTTTTGGACTTTTTACTTACAAGAGATGGCAGAGTCAGCAGGAAGAAGATCCATATATTTCCCGAGTTCATGTTGCAGGAGTTAGAGAGGCACCCCCACTTCCGAGCCACCCTCTCTCCTCTCTCCTCCCTACTGCCTGTTGCTGATCAGAAGCACACAAATGACCAACAGAACCGGTGAATATGTGCAGTGGAAGTGAGGAGGGGGAGTGGTGGAGAGAGAGAGAGAGAGAGACTCAATATTATTAGCAACTCTCCTGGCTGCGATTGATTTGCCTTCCACCTGTGTGCATTCGGAGAACTCTGCCAATTACTGGCAACGGGAGCTAGCAGGTCCCTCAAAAATGCAACGCAAACAGCGACAACACAAAAGATGTGCACAGACCTGCTCAAGTTGACTGCTTTCATGCAAATCAATGCAACTTGCACATGCAGGAAACATATTAATTGGGAAGGTGGGTGTTCCAAGCAAGGAGATGGATTGTTTGGAGCTATGGGTGAAGGAAGAAGGAAAGCAAATTTCCCCAACCTGATACTGTGGGCTGCTGCTTTGGACTACAACTCCCATCATCCATGACCGACGGCTATGTTGGATGGGCCTGATGGAAGTTGGAGTCCAACAACATTGGGAGAGCATCAGGTTGTGTCTCCCATCCCTGGGCACTGGAACAAAGGAAGCCAACAGTGGTCCATCTAGCCCAGTAGTGTCTGCACTGACTAAGAGCAGCACTCCAGGGTTTCAGATATTGGATATTCCCAGGGCTACCTGAAGATGCTGTGGTTTGAACCTGGGACCTTCTGCAGGTGAAGCTGGTGTTCTGTCATTGAGCCATGGCTCTTCCCAACCTGGGTGCCCTCCTGTCATCACTGAGGTTGAGGACTACAACTCCTGTCATCCTGAAGGAGTGTCTCCGCACTCATCATTCAGCCTGGACACTGAGGTCCAGCTCTGAGGGCTTTCAGGTGGGTCCCTCATTGTGAGAAGTGAGGTTACAAGGAACCAGGCAGAAGGCCTTCTCGGTGGTGGCACCTTACCCTGGGGGAACACCCTCCCATCAGGTGTCAAGGAGATAAATAAATTGAAATACTTTATTGTCACTTGTACAACTTGTATACAGTGAGATTACACGCGCACTCACCACTCAGCTCTCTTCGTCTTAATGCCCCTCGTTTACTGACGCACACCCACCAAACCCAAAAGTCAGTTGCCCTGTTGTTATCTTTTCATTCAGCAGCCTAACAGCCCATAGATAGAAGCTGTTCTTTACCCTGTTGGCGCGACTAATCATGCTTCTATATCTTCTGCCCGAGGGCAGGAGATCAAGAAATTGCCGGCCAGGGTGTGAATCATCCCTGAGAATTTTCCTCACTCTCCTGAGGCAATGTTCTTCCGCTATTTCATCCAGCAGATTCATGGGACAGCCCATAATATCTTGTGCTGTATTCACCACCCTCTGTAAAGGGACCCATTACCATTAGGTCCAGTCATGACCGACTCTGGGGTTGCAGCGCTCATCTCGCTTTATTGGCCGAGGGAGCCAGCGTACAGCTTCCGGGTCATGTGGCCAGCATGACTAAGCCGCTTCTGGTGAACCAGAGCAGCGCACGGAAAATGGCATTTACCTTCCCGCCAGAGTGGTACCTATTTATCTACTTGCACTTTGACGTGCTTTCGAACTGCTAGGTTGGCAGGAGCAGGGACCGAGCAACGGGAGCTCATCCCGTCACGGGGATTCAAACCACCGACCTTCTGATCGTCAAGTCCTGGGCTCTGTGGTTTAACCCACAGTGCCACCCATGTCCCAATACCACCCTCTGTAGGCACTTCCTATCAGTTGATGTCAAAATAACAATGCAACTTTAAGAAGACATCTGAAAGCAGCTCTGTATCAGGAAGTTATTAATGTCTGGTGTTTTATTATGTTTTTATATGTGCTGGAAGCTACTCTGAGCAGCTGGGGAAACCCAGCAGGATGGGCAGGATATTATTATTATTATTATTATTATTATTATTATTATTATCCTTGACCATTGGCCATGCTGGCTGGGGCTGATGGAAGTTGGAGTCCAACAACTTCTGTAATTCAACAGGTTCTGTTGCTGGACTGACTGCAGATCGCATCAGTCCTAATTTTTGGCCATGCTGCTTAGGGATGAAGGCAGTTTCATATAGTCATCTGAATCTTTATGGCAGGGAGAAGCCATAGTTCATCACTCACCTGTCAGCTGAAAGACTGGCTTATTGTGGCTGAAATGGCCAGAAAAAGATCAATTCACTGCCTGCAGCTGCACACTAGGAAGTGAAATAGCCCTTAGTGCAATGACAATACCCTAAAATGATGGATTCTCTGGGTCACAAAGCACAGTCAGATTGCAATGGGGAGAGGGGAGCGCCCACCCACCTCTGAGTGTGCAGGAAGAGTAATTGGAGGCAATGAATTAATTTTAATTACGCATAAAATGGACAGGTGGGTTTTGATGAGTAGTGGAGTTGATTCGAGGAAATGTTGAATAGGAAGCTTTAAATCGCACTAAGTAAGAGGTAGCTGCATTCAGGTGAGTGAGTAAGATATAGAGCTAACAGGAGCTAGTTTTCTGCCCTAGTTAGAAATGTTTTCTCTCCTCCTGCCCCCCATGTTACAGTGGTACCTCAGGTTACATACGCTTCAGCTTACAGACTCCGCTAACCCAGAAATAATGCTTCAGGTTAAGAAGTTTGCTTCAGGATAATAACAGAAATCGGGCTCCGGCGGCGCAGCGGCAGCAGGAGGCCCCCTTAGCTAAAGTGGTGCTTCAGGTTAAGAACAGTTTCAGGTTAAGAATGGACCTCCGGAACGAATTAAGTACTTAACCCGAGGTACCACTGTATTTTATGGGGAGAACTGGGCTCCATCCTTGAGGATTTTCCTAACTGCATCCTTTCCCCTCTTCCCGCGCCCCAATCCATGCATCTGAATTGAATGGAGAGGGAGATCAATAATGTCTATTTCAGCAGCGATATTACAAAAAGCCCATTTTTGTAAGGTCGTGAATTTAAGCCCCACTTTAACTTTTCACGGTTGGAATTGGGGGGGGGGGGTGGAAGTGTGGCTTATATTCAGGCCAATACGGTATGGTGTTATTTACACATAGATACAACCTGAGCATAAGATGGAGGAGCTCGCAGCTTCGACACACCCAAAGGAACTTTCTTCATTCATTCAGCCCAGAGCAAGTAAGTCTCTATGCCTCCAGCTGCCAGTCGGCTTCCTGCTTCCTCTCTCTCACATCTCTGGACTCTGCCGCCTTGCCCTGGGAGACTTTGTCTTGACTGAATTCTCAGTAGCCAGCACTGGCTTTCCATAGTCTAGGGCAAACAATTCTTGAATTTAACAGCCAAGTGGGAATTTTCCTTCCAAAGAAACTACAACAATATAGAACAGAGGGTCTTCTTTTGCACACTACTCCATTTCTGGGCAAGAACATATTTTTGAGAGCCAGGGTGTGATGGTTGGGGTGTCAAACCAGGATCTTGAAGACCCGGCTTCGAATCCCCCATTCGGCCATAAAGCTTGCTGGATGACCTTGGGCCAGTCACTGTTAGGAGCTCATCCTACACTTGAGTAGGACCCTGGTAGAGACACATGCCCGACTGGCATGTTCTCTCCCTCCTGGTCGACCGTTCGGGAGCTTCAAAAGCTTTCTTCTGCCCGAACATCCCAGCGACTGATGCTAATAGACATCGGCACACTTAGGGATCCGCAGAGTCTGCGCAGTTCACGTGACAGACCTCAACAACTCAGCATTTTGGCTAATCTACTTTATTTAAGAATGGGACGCAGGTGGCACTGTGGGTTAAACCATAGAGCCTAGGACTTGCCGATCAGAAGGTCGGCAGTTTGAATCCCCGCGACGGGGTGAGCTCCTGTTGCTTGGTCCCTGCTCCTGCCAACCCAAGCAGTTCAAAAGCACATCAAAGTGCAAGTAGATAAATAGGTACCGCTCCGGCAGGAAGGTAAACGACGTTTCTGTGCGCTGCTCTGGTTCGCCAGAAGCGTCTTAGTCATGCTGGCCACCTGACCCGGAAGCTGTATGCCGGCTCCCTCGGCCAATAAAGCGAGATGAGCGCCGCAACCCCAGAGTCGTCCGCAACTGGACCTAATGGTCAGGGGTCCCTTTACCTTTACCTTTACCTTTACTTTATTTACATATAAACACAAACGGAGCACTGCAACATGGCTCCCTCTCTCTCTAGCATCAGACAGCAAAGAGAAAAAAGACAAAGGACAATAGTCCCACTTCACGGAACACAGTAACACAAACATCCTGTCTCCGTCACTTCCCACTCTGTGGAGTCAAAACGTATACCATCATGTGAAAGACAACAATCCCATGACTGCAATCATGGAGCAGGAATTCTAACAGTCACTGCCTCACTGTCTACCTCACAGGGGTTGTTGTGGGGATTAAATGAGGAGGGTGTAAACCACCATCTTGAGCTCCTTGGAGGAAAAGGTGTGATATAAATGCAATAAATACAAAAAAAATTAAATATGAACACTTATTTCACCATGACAAGGTACGCTTGAAACACTTCACTGGCTGAAGTTCCAAATGATTTCTGCAAGTGCCCTGAGAATTAGGCAGAAAAATTGAAGCCTCTCTCCCAGAGGAAGAAAACTTTTAAGAAACTGATTTTGACACTAAGCTGCATAGCTTGCATAGAACATGGACTCTGAAAATGGGATTGTTTACAGGAGCTGTAGCTCATGGATCCCATCAATATGGAAATTAACAGCGCTGACACTAAACTGGCCTATTTATATCTTCCACGCAGGAGGAACATTTTTGCATAGAAACCAGTAACCAGAAGAGCTCACTCCCATTGTAGCAACTTAGCCTCTGGCCTTCAGACGTATCAAAAACAAACGTAATCAACGCACCTCAGTGTAGCCAGCAAAGTACATAGATTAATCTGTTTGTGAATGAAGGGGCTTAAAAAAAGAAAAGGAAAAAAGCAAATAGCAGCTAACCAGGTAATTTGAAACATTTCCATGGCTGCCAGGGACGAAATCCATCCCAAGTTCTGTTGTTGCATACAAAACAGTTCCTTAAGATTCATTGCAACGAGCAAACTTCA